TATCGATAAAGATGATCTGACCCTTCAATTAATTAAACTCGTGTTTATTTCTTTCATAGTTTAGACGTAATTAAACTTCCTGTTAGCAAATAATCATTGTTAACTTAACGACAGACTGTTTAAGATTAACAACGCCTTTGAACTGAACAATCTCTTCCAAATAAGAAGATCGCATTTTCGTATTTATCTGCTAAAACTTGAGCTTCAAGATAATGAGTATCTCACATGATGAAAATCAGTGAACCATGAACTTTACCTTGCTTGAACTTGAGCAAATGGTTGCTTAAAATTATCTGGATTTTCCACTTTTCTAATTCCTTTTTCTCTTCCACCCTCTGAAGCTTTGATCCTGATAGGACATTTGCTTTATTTAACCCATCATCAACGTCCTTGATGCACGCCTCTTCATAAACACTTTCGGAAATAATAACATGACCTTATTCATCAAATTTAATTTGGGTGACATCATTACCACTCCAATCCATTGTAGGAAAATTTGCGGATTGAGCAACGATCATAGATGATATTTTATCACCTAATGAACACATTGCTGAATTAAGAGGACTAATGAAAACCATCTTATGTTCACTCTGCGCTAATGATACACGTAATTTGGGATTCTTAGATACATGTTCCCTATAGATGAGAAAGATCAAATAATATTTCATTAATTTAAAAGAAAATTAATATATATACACAGTATTATTATTATTTATTTTTTTTAGAAGAATGCTTACCAGCCAGCCCAAACAGCATGAACACCAGTACGTTCAGCTATATCAATAGTTAATGAAACATTAATAAATATAATTATTAGGTACTTCAATATATTGATCAGCATTAATCTTTGAATCTTTAGAAGTAGCCATCACAGTAAACTGTATTGACTTTTCATCACCAAAGGTTTCATAAGACCATTTTCTAATAGATCTAATCTCTTTAACAGCTACTATACTATTATTCGCTATTAAAATTTTTGCGATAGTGATCATTATATTTTTCTACAAATTCTCTTACGATACTTCTTGGAACGTTTGCTAAATCATTTCTCTCCTAAAATATCATTGTAACAAAAAAACAATTATAGAGAAAAAAAGAGAAAAGAATTAGAGATGATGAGTAAGTTATGTAGTTAATAACTGAAAAATTGATTCGAATAACTCTTGATGAACATTTATTTAATTCAAATTGTAAAACAATTTGTATCATAATCACAATTCACATTCAAAGAATCGATGCAATCGTAGATAAAATATCTTACCAATAAATTGTTTATAAATATGAATTGTATACAAAAGGATATTGTTTAAATTTTGAATTCCTATTATAGGTATCATCCTTTTTTGGCCCGAGCCAGCGGAACGTTACACAAACTATTTAAGCATGACTTAAATTTTTTTACAAATTGTTTAATAAAAATGTTGAGACACCTTTTATCCAAGCCAAAATTATATTGAAATTTTAGATGATGATGAATATTATGATATTACAATTGAAGTTGGAAAAGATCTGAATGTGAAAATATTTCACGCGTATATGAACATATTGTGTTACATTCTCCATTTTTTGCGACAAAAATTGTCTTCCAATAAAAAGAATAATAATAACGCCCTAGTTCATATTAAGTTGCCAAATATTTCTCCATACTTTTTTCAAATTATTTTGAAGTAAGTATATACACTGAATCTAAGAATATGATTATCATTTTCTTCGTCATCTTTTAATAATCATAAATTTTTTATGATGTAGGTACATTTATGGTGGAATTGTTTCATTAGACGAACAAGATACTTCAGATACTTTAAAAGTATTGGTTGCTGCTGAAGAGCTTCTTCTGAAGAGCTAGTTAAATATTTACAGAATTATTTGATTGAAAATAAATCTGAATGTATAGAACAACATTTTGAGCTTACTTATAGAACAAGTTTTCAATTTAATTCTTTATCAAAACTTCAAGTGTTTTGTATAAATTTTTATGGCTAAAACTCCTGAAAAATTATTTCAATCACTTGATTTTACATCGCTTCCTGAAAATTCTTTAATTTCACTTATCAAAAGAAATGAATTACAAATGAAAGAAATTGAAATTTGGAAACACATATTAAAATAGGAACTTGAAAAAAATCACACACTTATTTCTCTTCAACTTGATCGGATGATGATTTCAAAATGATAAAAGATACCTTACAACATTGTCTACCCTTTATTAGATTTTTTAGTTTAACTTCCAAAGATTTCTTTGAAAAGGCTCATTCATATAAAAAACTTTTAATTCCTCTACTTTATGAAGAATTATTAAAATCTTATTTAAATCCTATTAGTAAACCTAATATTAACATTTTACTATCTAGTAATAGAAAGATTGATGGAATAATTGATTCACAAATAGTTGATTTAAATATTGTTTCACTTATTTATAGATGGGTTGATAAAATAGATATTGAAAGCAAATTTTATTATGTAAGAGAGTTGCATCTATCATATAAATTAAAAGGAAACAGAGATGGATTCTATGCCCAAAAGTTTCATATATTATGCGATAATAAACCAAACACTTTTACATTCATCAAAGTAAAAGTGACAGATGAAATTCCTGGTGGGTATGACCCTTTAATATGGAATAAAAATAGTGAATGCAGAATCAATAATTTGTAATAGTTTCATTACTCCTCCTTTGATAAAAGCATCTTCTATTTATAATAATAATACTTTTTTGAATTTTAATTACAATTGTAAACCAAGTAATTATGAAAAGAAATAAGAAATACAAATAATAAATTTTCTATAGAGAATTATGAAGTGTATCAAATCTTAAAAGAAAGATTTCATAGGTTTCTGATTATTTAACATTTTCATATATTAATTTTATTAAGAATTTATTGAATTATAAATATTATAGTCTGGGATCTTACTAAAAATAGAAATCAAATCTAGAATAATCAGCAGTCATATTTTAAAAATTTGATTGGCTATTAATTAAAAATTGTAACACTTTTTGTTAATCTAAAAGTTAAAAATTTTTCATAATAGCATTTATAATAAATATATAATTATATACTTTAAATATATGCTTTAATAATCTGTCTTTATTCCTAAAGCCCTACTTAGTAATATAAAGCATAATACTAACTTGAAATTGTCAAAATTTAACCTTTAGAAATGGTAAATAAATCATCTGCTAAAACGTTACCACGCTTATTTGAAGGATTCTATGCTAAATATTCAGAAAGTCAGCTAGTATTATGAAAAGTAGAGATATGCATCAGCAAATGCAGTAGTAGACTGAGTCAAAATTTTTGCTAAGTATTTTTCTGAATTGCTTTCATTATATAATTCCTTAGAAAATTATTCGATTTGTGAGAGACATTACAATCAAATTATTTCTACTGATACTTTTCTTAAAAAATTAGAAGCAGGAAGTAGTTTTGAAGAAAATAATCAACCAAAAAGATTAAAAACCATTGAAGAGAATGCAGATATTATATCACAAAATTATGCAGAACTTCCTTTAGAATTATTAAATACAAAAAAACGTTAACTGATTCTGAATATTAACGAATAATATATGTTAACTTATCCCTTTAATGGTAAAAAATTGCAGGCAAATTTGCCTGCAATTTTAAACAACTTTAATTAATCTTTAACATAAA